AGCAGTGCTGCCAGTCAGTGCCACCAGTCAGTGCCCAGGGGTTGTGCCAGTCAGTGCCGCCAGTCAGTGCCCAGCAGTGATGCCAGTCAGTGCCGTCTATCAGTACCCATCATCAGTGTCACCTATCAGTGCCGCCTATCAGTGCTGCATATTAGTGCCGCCTATCCGTGACACCTCATTAGTGCTGTCTATCAGTGCCGCCTATCCGTGCCACCTCATTAGTACTGCCTATCAGTGCCCTTTAGTGCTGCCTATCAGTGCCCATCAGTGCCACCTATCAGTGCCCATCAGTGCTACCTCATCAACGCACATCAGTGAAGGAGAAAAAATACCTGTTTGAAAAATTTTATAATAGAAACAAAGAAACTTTTTTTTTTTTCAAATTTTTTGCACTTTTTTTATTTATAGCGCAAAAAGTAAAGCGCCCAGTGGCGATTAAATACCACCAAAAGAAAGCTCTATTTGTGAGAAAAAAATGATCAAAATTTCATATGGGTACAATGTTGCATGACCGCGCAATTGTCAATCAAAGTGCAGCAGCGCTGAAAGCTGAAAACACTGTTCAACAAATTTTTATTTTTTGCCAGTTTTGGAAACAAAAGGATCCATTTCTTAATGAATTTCACATTCTGAGTTCAAATATAACAATGAAATTTGTCAATTGGCTCTAGTTTTTCTGTAAACGGAAAGTTTTCTACTATAGGCGTAATGACTACATAATGCACAATAATTATATAGATAGATGTCTTTCCACAAATATAAAGCAAGTGATATTGACTACATAACAAAGCCTAAATGGCATAATATATTGCATAGGATTACCAAGAAAAATTATAGCCATAAGCTAAGTTGAATCATTTTAATACTTAGGATTCTCACTAGTTTTGTCTTCAGTTTGTGTCGGTTTTGCTTCTCTTGGCTTTTCTCTTGTATTCGAGGAAAGGGCTATCTCTTACAATTGCACGTGACTACACGCTTCAGGTTCTTCCTCACTTGACTCAACCACGAAGGATTCTGGTGCTTTAGGAATTGGTAGCCCCTCTCCATGAGGAACTGGACGTATTGCCGATGGAATATTTGGATAGTGCACAGATAACTTTTTCTTCTTATTTAGCCCTTTTACAATTGGAGGCACCATACAAAAGTAACAATTACTAACATGATCTCTTGGCTCTCTCCAAATCATTGGCACAGAGAAAGGCATAGATGCCTTTTTTCCATTCAACCATTGCTCCAGTGCCGTCGCACAAGAATTGCAGCACATATGTGGTGCCCAGCTCTTGTCCTGGTCTCCTATCTTGCAGCCAAAATACAAGTTGTAGGCTTTCTTAATCATTCCTGTTATCCTCCTTTTTTGTGAGATAAAAGTTATTTCACCGCAGATATAGCAGAAATTATCTGCTTTATTCACACAAGTTCGAGGCATTACTGAGTAGCCTATATAAGCATAAAAACGAAATGTAAAGACGCTGTCGAACTACAATCAGCTACAGATACTGCAGCTTTTATGCAGTGAAGTGATGCAATTAAAGGCTAATATTGCATCATCTCAGTATACATGCAATTTTCTATTGGTCACCAGTATCAATTGCGCTATATGCAGCTGAAGTTGCATCATAATTTTGAATGGCTTACGTCATTAGATGGGTGAATATATCATGGAAACTAGAGCCAATCAACATTTTTTAGGGTCATTTTCGTTTTCAGCACCCCAAAATTATGTAAGATTAGCTAATTTTATGCCCAAAACTTTTTACCTGTTGAACAGTGAAATTGGCCTGGTAAATAAGGGGGTATAAGTGCCTGGTAGGCAAGTGGTTAATAAGGGGATTAATAATTGGCAGGCTCCCATACCGTGACAGTAGCATTGATTCTTTATATGGATTTATTGGCGAGTTAAACTTGAATGATAGAGGTATTGTGCCTCAGTGTGAAGCTAGCAAACAAGAGATGCATTTTTTGGATATGGCCATTAAAGTAAATGGTGATAGCCAGTCACCTTCTTTAAAGGAACAGACCTGAATTCTTATTTAGATAGGACTAGCTATCACCATCCTTCATGGCTTAACTCCATCCCCAAAAGTAAATTTTTGCGCATCAGGCGCAATTGCATGAATATTGAAGATTGCCTTCAATCTGAAATATTGAAGTAAAGATTTATTAATAAGGGGTATGATGTAAAGATGTTGGAGGAAACCATGAGAGATGTGGGGGGCTTAGATAGAGTAGTGCTGTTGACTAGTAAGGAATCTAATTGTAATTAATAATTTTTTTAGTTGGGCCTTTACCATGTCCTTTTCAGATCAACGTTGGGCTATAAAACATGTTATTAAAAGGCATTGGCCAATTTTAAGGAAGGACCGTGTTTTAGGTCCACTTATCCCAGAGAAGTCTAATATTGTATACAGAGGAGTGCCCTCTTTGAGGAATATGTTGGCCCCTAACATTATTAACCCTCCAATTAAACCAAAATTTTTCTATGACTTGAAGAGGTACTTTCTTTGTCAGAAATGTGATGTATGTAAAATTATAAATGTAAGGGTAGGAAAATTATTAACTTTAATTCAGATCAAATGGGTAGGGTTTTCATTCATTACATGTAACACTAGGAAGAGTACATGTTAATTTGTCCGTGTGGTTGGCAGTACATCGACAGGACTGTAAGAAGACTACAAGTAAGATTGAAAGAACATATTTAAAAATATTAAAATAGGTTTTTTGCAGGGCATAGGGTCCCAAAACACCATGCGATATACCATAATAATGACCCTACAGGTACAATTTTCATTAGGAATTGATAGCTTTTCATCTCAATGGAGGGGGAGCCATGTTAGGAGGGAGATTTCAAGCTTGGAGACACAATGGATATACAATTTAAAATCTTATGTCACTTTCGGACTGAATGTGGACTGGGACATTAACTGCTTTGTAAACAATAATTGATATGTGTGTATTTCTATTCTTTGGATGGGTTTAGACTATAGAACTGAATTTGTCCTACTATTCACTTTAATGGGATATATATTTGGAGCTGTCATTTATTTATTTTTATTTTTATAGGTATTTTTATGTGAGTTTAAATGCAACATGTTAAGTGGCAGGTTGATCGCTTCATTTATTCTGTTTTTTACTTTTTTAATATCTCTTATTTTTAAATTTTCCCCTTTTTTTAGTTTATTATTTTAATTTTCAAATGATTATTAGTGTAGGGAATGAGTGGAATACTTCTTCTCTACAGGAGGAATGATACTCTTTTTAATATCAATGCTAGTTGAAGGTGGTATACATAAATTGTAATTTAATATGTCCTGTAATACTCGATGAGCACCATACAGTAAAATCCCCTAGAATATATCTGTACAATGAAACATGTAGGGTAGGGCTTGTATGTGTGTGATGTCATTGCATCGGTCTGTGTGTTGCCGGCCAAGTTGAGCTTTTTTGGGCATACTTCACTATGTATGCATTCTCTTTATTTTTCATTTGGTGATCTCATGGCCATTGATCCACTGTGGTGGAGCTCTGTTCAGGCACAGAGTGCCATTAGTTTCATTCTCTAATGGGCCGTCTGTTTTGGAGTATCGTCGATTACGGCTACTGGCCTGCTATGGTGAGGTTGTGATTTCACATCTTCAAGCTGAGCGCTTATGACAATTTTTAATTTTATGGTCCACTTGGTCTGGTAAGAGGCCCTTACATCTATTCATGGAGGTGGTTGCATTTTCTCACATCGTGGTGCATCATTGCAACATAGATTGCACTTGGCACTTTATGTATACTTACTTTTGGAGACCAAGGGACTCTAATTGCAATATGAATTTGCCATTTATGTTTTACATGGACACTTTAAATCATTTTTATATTATTGTTTATTTCTTTCACTTTTATTTGACTGTATGAAATTCACTATATGAAAATTCACCATAACATAAGTATTTGATTTTTATTGTTTTCTACATTAATTTTTAGCGTTGTTAGTTTGTTTTCTATGTTTTTGCATCTGGTATCACAGTGATTAGCAGCTTCTTTGTTTTTCTTTTTTTGATCTTAGCGCAGATGTATTTTTTGTTTATTGAACTAATGAGGAAGCAGTACGGGTCAGATTAAAGCACCCGTGGAACTGAGTCATACACCACTTTACATGATCTTGGTACCACCCTGTCAGCCTGTCTCTCCAAATTAAGTGGAAATTGTCCTGCATTAAGAGAAGTAATCGATAGCTTAAGATCTTGAGACAACTCAGATTGTATGTGGGTACAAAACAGAGCAGATTGGACATCCTCCTGTTGCTGGGCAAGCCCAGCAATTAAGCTTTTACATTTTTTCATGAATTTGGACAGAAGCAGTTGTGTCAATGTGTGCATATTGTAAATCTTCTAAAACATGATTTATATCTAACTGGGTTTTATTTCTTTCCCCTATATGTTGAACTAGACACCCCCAATTCATTCTTTAACACTTGCAAATCCATACAATTTAATGCTCCCATAACCACACTTTCCTGCCCCCAATGCAGCATCTGATATATCCCTTTTTACTCTGTTAGTAAAATAACCTAACTCCAACCTTCCCTTTAACACACTGACTCATCTTTTTCACAGAAAAGTGTACAGTATGAACTGGGTTTCGGTCCATTGGGATGATAACTGTAGGACCACCAGATCTGCAGCCTTCGCTATGGGTACTTTACATTCAATAGCAGTAATATGTGCTGGTTCTAGAACATTTTCTCACTTGGCATTCGACCTATAGTAATACAGGTTTTATTTCATCCTTCCCATGTATGCTCTTGTCTTGGGTCTAGGGTGAAATTCTTTTTTCAGTAATATCATCTTTATTAAATTTTTCTCTTTTTTCCATTTTCACAAGAAAACATACAAAAAAACACACTTCACATTAACCAAACTTTTAGCTCCAGTTATCTTAATATTTAAATATATCATAGTCTACAATATATGCATATATTTTTACCAACAGACTCCATTGCCCTTTTAAAATCATGTAACCCAGGGCTTGAAAAAGCCGCTCGCCCGCTCGCCAAATGCAAGGAGAAATTCTTGTGTGGCGCGGCGAGCGGCGAGCGGCGAGCACAGATGATGGAGAAGCTGCACCTGTGCTCCAAGCCTCATTGTGAAGCCAAGTTCAGGTTTCCAACTTACGGTTTCCGGCTTCTTCGGCACAGCCATTACACTGGCAGCGCTGCTGAGGGGACAGGTGCAGGAGAGGTCCGCTCTCCTCCGCTGAGAGGAGACACCCTCTCCTGCGCCGTGGGGGACTGCTGTACAACGAAAACCATTGCAAATCTTGATGTGAAACTGGCTTCCTACTGCTTTTTGTCATCCAAAAACTGAGTTATTGGCGTTTTTTTTTTTCTTGATTGAATAGAATGCAATCCACACACAGCCATTGAAGTGGTATTTTGCATCAGAAAAAGGGTATTACACAAGTCTTGGTCCTGCTGTACAACACAAACCATGGCTGCTCTATTAGCACATCATGGTAAAATGTTTACTATTGTTATACCATGTTTTTTGGCATCTAAATAAGCACTTTTTTGTTTTTTCTTAATGCACTACTTCTCTAAGCTCTCTTTTAATAAGATGCTGGAGATAAAAAATGCAAAATGTTTACTATTGTTATTTATTTTATGCAATGTTTTTTGGCCATCAAAAGAGGCACTTTTTTCTTAATGTCACACTTCTCTAAGGTCTCTGCTCTTATGTTTAAATTGCCATAATAAAGCTATGTTATAATTGCAGTTTTTTATATTTTGAACTCTTTATTCTAAAGAAAAATGTAGTTTCATAAGCTTTAAGGGGCGTGGTTGGGGGCAGGGCTGGGGCGGGGTTGGAGGATGGGCCGGGGGTGGGGTTGGAGGCGGACCTGGGCAAGGTTGGGTGGGGCAACTGGTGGAGAGTAAGGTTTGTGCCTGGCTAGTAGGTCTAGACTCGAAATTTTAAGCCCTGATGTAACCTAAGAAATTCAGATATATCAGTTTTTCAACTTAAATACATTGACTGTTCAAAATCCAACAACCTTCGTCAGTGGTCTCACTGAAAGACCAGGTAAAAGGCCTATCTAAATTTAAATCTAGATCAAAATCATATCAGTGCCAGTCAGTGGTCACAAGCACCCATCTCATTCTTTCATTCATTGGCCGTCCATTCACTCATTCACACTAGGTAGATCTATGCCATTGCACAGGATATCCCACTTCCAGTGATTTGCATCCCTAAACTAAGCCACTTCAAAAAAATAATGTCCCTCTTCCTCAGAGGTACATGTATCTCATAACATATATAAGAAAACTTTGTATCGATATTCCTCCTTCAGAATGCATTCTTTTATATATTTTGTCTTTTGCATCAGTTTTTACATTTTAGGACCAGTGTTTTTGCATACTTATTCATAGCAACCTTCAAACCAAGTACCTTGATGTGTCAGACTAAAATTTAGTTCCAAAATTACCTAATTTTGGGACAGATAGGCAAGGGGGACAGGTACGTTCTGTATAATTGGGACTTCTAGTAATCAAAAGTTCCTGAAGACCATCTGCAGGATCAAAATACTTATTCACCAAGGATCCTGAAAGAAGTAACATACCAACCCATATGGAAGAAAAATATATTTGAAATATATTTTAAACATATTCTTCCCAAATATATTGCCATATATTTGAAATCCTACAATTTTGGCCATATACAATATATTTAAAAAAAAATAAAAAAAAATATATATATAAACTGCATGTTGAAATGTGTTTTAAAAATATACTGTATGTCTTTAAAAATACAAATCTACATTTTTGGAATGCATTTACATTTACATATATATATATATATATATATATATATATATATAAAATATATGTTAAAATGACTTTTTATATGTTAAAAAAATCTGAAAAATATATTAAAAAAAAAGAAAATTTTTAAAAATATATATTTTTAAAATATATTCTTCAGATTTTTTTTCCCTTCCTGTGTCCCACTCAATGGATCTGTGAATGATCCCAACCTTTGGTTCTTTTCTCGTATACCATTACCTCTAGGCAGTGTCCATGGGCTAAAATTTGCATGAGACAGTGGGGTACTTATTTGAATCCAAAATTAATATGTATTGGCTTCTTGGAGTCTAAGGTTTCCTTGGAGAATGGAAGCGCACATCAACTGATTAAATATACAATTGGGCAAGCAGTCCCATCTCTCAAGGTCCCCCACACATTCTTGTGAGCTTTCTTACAAAGTGAGACATGAATTCAGAAATGTTCCTTTTAGCTATACATATGTTTCAGTTTTCATCAAAACCTGATAAGGATTGTTGCATCTGGGTTCCAATCCTTTTCTGTGGAACCACTACCCAGTCTCCAAGCTGTGAGGGGTGTCAGGGGAGGAGCTTCAGAGTCAAAATCTGAAATAGAAGAGAAAACTAGAACATGCAAACTAGTATACTGTTTATGCTACTCATATACATATATTTTCAATAACCAGTGTATCAATTTACTCTATTTTGGGAAGAACAACCCAATTATAAAGGCTTTACCAGATAATATTTCAATAGGGGACATTTTCTCTACAGTCCTGAGGGTGTGTCTGATGGACTTTAACACGAGCAGAAGGAACCGTACCTAAGTAAGGCATGTCTGTTCACACATTTTAGCCAAATGATCTTTAATTATCCCATGATATTTTTTGAATTTTTCAAGATGATATGGTGTGTGGAACTTCAGTTCAGTCTGGAGGTCCTCTATAACCTCTGTCATAACTTGACTTATGAAATAACTTCCATGATCTGACTCCACTATTTCCATCCGGCATATCTACACATGTCCTGCAATAGCTTTTTGGTAGTGACCATATTCACACACTAAAACATACTAATGCTGTTGATACGCTGTCATTTGCAACCTTTTTAAAGGGTACAGGGCTTTTGACAAATGTTTGGCAGGTCTCCCAGGGTTATGTATTTGACGTTTTCACATCCTTGTGTGTGTATATATGTGTGTCTGTGTATGTGTGTATATATATATATATATATGTATATATATATTGTAACGGGGTTAGCTCGGAAGCGGGTGTGTGTGACCCCCTGGATGGGTGCACAACACAAAAAGACAGGCACAGCACAACAGTGGAGGTGAAAACAAACAGGTGCAATTTATTTACAATATTTACAGAAAAATGGTAAACCAAAAAGAAACATCAAAATAAATCCTGGCCAACTTAGCTACTTACTGCAACAACAGCTTTCCCTAGCTACCCACTAGGTACAGCCTGCTGCTATACCTAGTTGCTAGTACTTGGAGGCTATCCACACAGGCTTTGGTCTCTCTGCACACAGATAAGAGGTCAGCTCCCCAGTCAGTTCAGGCACAGATCTGGTTCCAGGTTGGAGCCACTCCCTAAGCACTCTGGGAAGTTTTATACAAGTCTTAATGAGCCCACTACCTTCAGCTGGGCTCATTACCTCCGTGCAGAAGGACTCAGCACTTTCCTCTAGTGGAACAAATCCCCATAAAGCCTGAACCTCGGACAAATGTATCGTCCATCCAGGACGCAATCAGGTGATTTCACCTGCCTACTGTCACAATATATACATACAGTTCTCAGCACAAATGAGTACACCTTTTGAAAAGTATGATTTTAATCAATATCTCAATGAACACAAGAAGAATTTTCTAAATTTTCACAACTTTGGTTTTATAGAACATTTGTTTAGCTCATTACATGAAAGTAAGGTTAATAATATAACTTCGATTACAAAATCTTAAATTTTACTCAAATTAGTTGATGCAAAAATGAATACACTCCACAACAAGAACTACTACATCTAGTGTTTTGTATGACCTCCATGATTTGTAAGGACAACACCAAGTCTTCTAGGCATGGAGTCGACAAGTAGGCCACGTAAAATGACAAAGCAGGGTCAGTGCAGGCTGAAGTGCGCAGAAGTGGCCAACTGTCCGTAGAGTTAATAGCTAAAGACCTCCAAACTTTGTGTTGCCTTCAGATTAGCACAACAGTGCGTAGAGCTTCATGGATTGGGTTTCCATGGCCGAGCAGCTGCATCCAAGCCCTACATCACCAAGTGCAATGCAAAGAATCAGATGCAGTGGTGTAAAGCACGCCACTACTGGACTCTAGAGCAATAGAGATGTGTTCTCTGGAGTGATGAACCATGCTTCTCTGTCTGGAAATCCGATGGACGTGTCTGGGTTTGGTGGTTGCCAGGAAAACGGTACTTACCTGACTGCATTGTGCCAAGTGTAAAGTTTGGTGGCGGGAGGATTATGGTGTGGGGTTGTTTTTCAGGAGTTGGGCTTGGCCCCTTAATTCCAGTGAAGGGAACTCTTAAGGCATCAGCATACCAAGACATTTTGGACAATTTCATGCTACCAACTTTGTGGGAACAGTTTGGGAATATGCACCAGTGCACAAAGCAAGGTCCATAAAGACGTGAATGAGTGAGTTTGGGGTGGAGGAACTTGACTGGCCTACACAGAGTCCTGACCTTAACCCAATAGAACACCTTTGAGATGAATTAGAGTGCAGACTGCGAGCCAGGCCTTCTCGTCCGGCATCAGTGCCTGACCTCACAAATGTGCTTCTGGAAGAATGGTAAAACATTCCCACAGACACACTGCTAAACCTTTTGGACAGCCTTCCCAGGAGAGTTGAAGCTGTTATAGCTGCAAAAGGTGGGCCATCTCAATATTGGACCCTACGGACTAAGTCTGGGAAGCCATTAAAGCTCATGTACGTGTAAAGGAAGGCACCCCAATACTTTTTGCAATATAGTGTGTGTGTATGTATATATACACACACACACGCACACTATATTGACTCATTAGGATGGCAGGTACTATGCACTTCCTGCGAGATATATATATATATATATATATATATATATACAGTGGGGATCGAAAGTTTGGGCACCCCAGCTAAAAATTTGTATTAATGTGCATAAAGAAGCCAAGGAAAGATGGAAAAATCTCCAAAAGGCATCAAATTACAGATTAGACATTCTTATAATATGTCAACAAAAGTTAGATTTTATTTCCATCATTTACACTTTCAAAATAACCGGGAAAAAAAAAATGGCGTCTGCAAAAGTTTGGGCACCCTGCAGAATTTATAGCATGCACTGCCCCCTTTGCAAAGCTGAGACCTGCCAGTGTCATGGATTGTTCTCAATCAACGTCTGGGAAGACCAGGTTATGTCAATCTCAAAGGTTTTAAATGCCCAGACTCATCTGACCTTGCCAAAAAATCAGCACCCTGGGTTCTTCTAAGCAGTTGTCTA